CTTTTTTATAGCGAGATGTAAAAGCAATATCACTAAGAAAAGTATGATTAAAAATCCGACCACTGCTGCTGCTAAAACTCCACTAGACAAGGTCTTACTCTTTGTTTGTTTGTTTCCACCAGGATCTGACTTATCTGGAAAATATGGGCAAAACAGCCATGTTATAAGTTGTATAAGCCTGTCACTCTGTAAAGAATGTACTATCATGGAATCTGCTATAGCCACGGTCCAAATTTGTGTTGCGAGAGCCTGGCATTGGAGTAAAGAGTCTGGGAATCCCGAGTTCCTCTTTGCCTCTGTTTCAAAACAAGTCCTCGCGCAAAGCGTTTCATATGAAAGGGAATTTGATTTGCAAAGTGAAAGTGAAAGTGCAAATGAAACGAATTTACGTCAGAATGGTTTTGCAGGAAAAATCGTCTTGACACAGGCAAAAGGCAACGTGGAAACGGCCTATGTCTTGGGTGGAAGTTGGGCAGTCATTATAATATTATAGCTTTCTCTGCACTCATTGCGGGCCTACGCTATTAGTAAACATTACCTGGTGTGTTGTTTTGCTGGCCTTGGTTGTCACCTGCTTTGGACATCACCTGAGGGGTTCTAGGAGTCACTAAGTAAGAAATGAAAACAACGACAGTGAAAAATCGGGAAACCGTTCTGTAACGGTCATTTGAACCAATCAGTTGCAATCAATAAAAATAACGATACGCACAACAGCAAGTGCATTGAGGTTTTCTATAATGAGTCGCAAACAATGCAGATAATTTTTTAAAAAGCATTCTACTTGAGTTTCTGTTGAGAGACCCTAGGAACTAGGTTGAGTTATTTGCTGACATTTTTTATATAGCGTCCGGAAAAACTGACTTTCATTGCAAAATTAAGGAGGCTTTGTTTATTTAAGAGCTAGACTTCTCTGAATATAAATCTCAGTTGAGGGAGACGCGGTTGCATTATTAGCTGTTACTTCTTGTGATGTACATACGGACATTTATTATATGGAGAAGAGTGTTTTACTGGGAACTAAACCACTCGTAGATTCCATACGCCACTTCA